ATGGGCTTTGGCCCGGTTCAGTGGAAGAAGGCTGGCTGGGTGAGGAGGAGTGCGCTGGGCCGGCAAAGAAGCAGGCTGGGCCTGGCGCTTGCCTCGCTTGGTCAACGCGAGCCGACCTGCTCGTTGCTGCTACTCAATGCAGCCGGCGGCGACGGGGAGGGGATGGATGGATTGGACTAGGGTTTGATCCGAATATATACCCCGAGTGGATTTGGGTAGGGTCGCCTGAATCCCTCCGATCGTAATTGGACGGTCGGGAAAAATAAGCTAGGGAGTCCAATAAACAAAACGAAGATGTTTTGTAGACGTTTGGGGATGATCTGGATCCAATGGTGGCGACACTCCGGGTCGGGTTCGGGACAACTTTCGGACGCGTGCGAGGGGAGGTCCGCGAGCTGACGAGAGAGGTTGGGTTGGGCCTGGCGGTAGGTGGTGAGCTGTGTAGACGGTCGCGAGCTGAGAGAAGAGAAGAGAGGGAGGCCCGGCGACTGTTTCCAGAGACCGAAAACGTCCGACGTTAAACCGGCTACTATTGCCGCTATATTTAACGGTTAGGCTATCAAACGAGCTCCGAATGCGATGAAACTTGGCAGGCGACCTACTAACAACAAAACAACACCGCATGCCAACTTTCACCCCACTCTGAGAACATTTCCCGGCCACTTATAAAATACTATTTCGGACATGCCTCGGGCGCGTGCAAGTGTGTCTGGGCTCAGAACGGACAACGGAAGGAACAAGGAGAACCCGGACGAATGCAAGTTTTAAACATGATGATGCAATGCACATGATGACATGATAAGAAATGCATGACACGCAAGCAAAGACAAGGAAACAACAGCGAATAACTGGAGGACACCTGGCACATCGGTCTTGGGGCGTTACACGAACGTTGTCCGCCGCCGCCGCCGACCTATCACTCGCCGCCACGTGTCCCGGGGGGACCTCTTCGCCGCCTCCCACCGACGCGGGCCCGCAGGCCCAACGCCGGCCCTCTCCCCATGCCGATCCGGGCCGCCGCCTCCGCAGCGCCCCGCCGCCCGTTGCCTCCAGCCCCGGCGAGGGACCAGCTTCGGTGGCCCGCGCCGCCGTCGCCAAGCCGCCGCCCGACCCGACCGTCCTCGCCCCACCACGGCGCCTGCAGCTCCGTCGCCGCGCCGGATCCGTCGCTCGCCGCCCTCGGCTTCCGCGCCCGCCATCGCCTCCTCGACGTCCCTCCTCCTCCGGCGTCCAACTCCCTCTCCGACGAGCTGGAGGACGAACCCCGGATTGCGTGCAAATCCCAGATCTGAAAATATCTCGGTTGACTTTTTGCCTCAAACCCTAACTATTTTGCTATGTTCGTCGTGCCATAACTTTGCATCCGTAGATCCGTTTTGGGCATATAGCATATCAAAATGTTCATCTCAGAGAGTACATCATTTCATCTCAGTGCATCATTTTCATTTGAGTTCATCTTGATGCCCAAAATGCTATTGGAAGAGTGCTATTTGGGATAATTGTCAGATCTGCTGCTCCAAATAGCTATTTGTCATTTTTGCCATGATTATTGTGTGCATGATATGCGCCTGAGCTCTACATATGTTTTGTTATATGCTTTGCCATCTTTCTAGAGGTGCAATCCATGTATTTTTGCGATGTGTGTGGTGACTAGAACAAGCTTGCAAAGTGGTGCATCCGTTAATGCTGATTTCAGGGACTTAGCAATTCCACTAAGTCCTTGATCTGTTTTTATCAATATGCCATATGTTCATGTTGTTTCCTAGTGATCCATGCCTCTTTTGAGGATGATCAGTAAGGATGATTTGTTAATCTTGTAGTGCTCTATCCATCCATATCTTTGTTTGCAATTATGGAGCACCCTAGCTTGAGTCAATCGAGCTCTACTTTTGCTATTTCGTGAATCTGGGCAGATTGTCTACTTGTTAGCGATTTTCCCGAGGATGTTGTAGTTGATCCGTGCATGCTATATTGTTGTTATTGCCATGTCTAGCTTGTATTATATGTATTCTTGAGGGGTGTATGCTTAGATTGTCATGACATGCTCTGTAGTGAGTGCATCGAGCTCGTAAACATGCCTACTTGATATCTGATTTGCATGCTCCAGTTTTTCACTAAGTCTGAGAACTGATTATGTTTTTGCCATGTTCACATGCTTGCAATTGTATTTTCTGATCCCTTTTGGCTCAAGGTCACTAAGGGACTTTTGTTAAGCTCTTTGAGTAGCTCCATGCCATGCTTTACTTTGCCATGTTTAGTTCCTGTAGCATATAGTTTTCATACTCCATAGTGTGCTACCTGATCTGAAATTCCAGACAAGTGTTAATTTCACGAAGTCTGAAATCTGTTTGTCAATTGCTCTTTTGCCATGCTTGTTTGAACCTGTTATTGGATGAATTGGCCGTAGCTCAGTGTTCATCTTTTATTAAGCATCATGAATGGATCCCTGACATGTTTTTTGATGCCATGTTTGGGTGTTGTAGCATGTTTAACTTGTGGCATTTAGATGGCTACTTGCTGTATATCGCAGACCGGTGCCATATTTGAATTGCTTGCCATTTCTAAACCGTGTCTCCGATTCCGGTGATCTTTATATCGTTTTCAAACGAGATCATCTCACCTTTCCAGTGGCACACTTGGATTTCCAAGTTGAGGCCAGGTTCTTTCATTCCTTGTCAAATCTTGCATATGCATCACATATCGCATCCCGCATAGCATACCATGTTTGCATCATGTTGTTTGAGTTTGCACGTGGTTGATTGTGTTCTTGTTGCTTGTTTCTCTTGCTTGGGTAGAGCCGGGAGACGAGTTCGCTAACGAGGAGCCCGTTGAGTTTGCTTTCGAGGATCTAGTCAATTCTGACAACTTTGCAGGCAAGATGATCATACCCTCGAAATCACTACTATCTTTGCTTTGCTAGATGCTCGCTCTTTTGCTATGCCTATGTTACGATGCCTACCACTTGCTTATCATGCCTCCCAAATAGCCATGTCAAACCTCTAACCCACCATGTCCTAGCAAACTGTTGATTGACTATGTTACCGCTTTGCTCAGCCCCTCTTATAGCGTTGCTAGTTGCAGGTGAAGATTGGAGACCGTTCCTTGTTGGAACATTATTTATTTGTTGGGATATCATTATATTATCTTGTTATCTTAATGCATCTATATACTTGGTAAAGGGTGGAAGGCTCGGCCTCTCGCCTAGTGTTTTGTTCCACTCTTGCCGCCTTAGTTTCCGTCATATCGGTGTTATGTTCCTGAATTTTGCGTTCCTTACGCGGTGGGGTGATAATGGGAACCCCTTGATAGTTCGCCTTGAATAAAGCTTCTCCAGCAATGCCCAACCTTGGTTTTACCATTTGCCACCTAGCCTCTTTTTTCCTTGGGTTTCTGGAGCCCGAGGGTCATCTTATTTAAACCCCCCCCCCCGGGCCAGTGCTCCTCTGAGTGTTGGTCCGAACTAGAGTCCTGGCAGCGCCCCCTCGGGGAAACTCGAGGTTTGGTTTTAGTTGTATGGAGCGCTCATCTGAGTGTGCCCTGAGAACGAGATATGTGCAGCTTCTATCGGGATTTGTCGGCACATTCGGGCGGTGTTGCTGGATTTGTTTTAACTTGTTGAAGTGTCTTGTAGAACCGGGATACCGAGTCTGATCGGAAAGTCTCGGGAGAAGGTATATTCCTTCGTTGACCGTGAGAGCTTGTCATGGGCTAAGTTGGGACTCCCCTGCAGGGATTTGAACTTTCGAAAGCCGTGCCCGCGGTTATGGGCAGATGGGAATTTGTTAATGTCCGGTTGTAGATAACTTGAACCTTAACTTAATTAAAATGAATCAACTGTGTGAGTTACCGTGATGGTCTCTTCTCGGCGGAGTCCGGGAAGTGAACACGGTGTTGGAGTAATGCTTGCCGCAGGTTGTTCTCTAGTTATTCGTTCGCGCTTTGCCTTCTCTTCTCGCTCTCTTTTGCGAACAGGATAGCCACCATATATGCTAGTCGCTTGCTGCAGCTCCACACATATTACCTTGTCTTACCTATAAGCTTAAATAGTCTTGATCGCGAGGGTGCGAGATTGCTGAGTCCCTGTGGCTCACAGATTACTTCCAAACCAGATGCAGGGCCTGATGACTCCGTTCCAGATGACGCGTTTGATCTTAAGTGGGAGTTCGACGAGGACTCACGCCGTTACTATGTGTCTTTCCCTGATGATCAGTAGTGGTGCCCAGTTGGGGCGATCGGGACCATGTCGCATGTTGGGTTGATCTTTTATTTTGGCACCGTAGCCGGGCCATGAGTGTTTGGATGATGTAATGCTATTTATGTACTTTGATTGACGTGGCGAGTGTAAGCCAACTATGTACCTTCCCCTTTTATTATCTATATTACATGGGATATTGTGAAGATTGCCTTGCTTGCGACATGCTTTCAATGCGGTTATGCCTCTAAGTCGTGATTCGACATGTAGGAGATATAGCCGCATCGAGGGCGTTATACTGCTGCTTAAAGAGAGATGAAGCTACGATCGTCGAAACCAAAAACTTTAAACCCGAATGTTGTGAGGAACTGCGAGATTAGGCTACTGGTCAAAGGAAATTTCAAACGATCGATCGTGCACGATGAATCTGACAAAATTCGTTAAGAACAGCCTCAAACGGGAACACGAATTTAAGAACTTACGGTCGACGAAACTACGAACTGATCGCCTGAACGACCAAGCAGCGGCCACCGCGGGCCGCGGCAGTGTTTCCTCGCCCTCACAGAACACCGTCTCGCCGCCGCCGAAACCCCTCCTTGCCCCCGTTCTCTGCGCGCCAGGTCGACACATTCCTCGATCTCAGCCACCGGCGGCGCCGGCTCCGCGGTGCCCAATTCCTCAAACCCTAGAGCCAAATCCCCCATTTGGCCGCGCCTAACAGAGCCGGATTTACTCGGCGCTGGCTGGTGCGAGCGGCGAATCGAGTCCCCTCCCGTGCGCTGCTCCGCATGTCGCACCGCGTGTACGCATGAACTCGTCCATGGACGAGATCAACCTGCTACGGCAGCACCAGCGACACCAGCAGCACCACCTGTCGGTGCGCGGCATCGGTGAGGAGATCGACCTCGAGATCGACCAGTGTGAAGATCCCACTTTCTCGGGCGCCGCACTCGAGGGCGTGACCTGCCATCACCCTCAAGACCCCGTTGTCCCTGCCGATGACCACAAGAGCTTCCTCATCCCGTGCTCGCAGCCTGGCGCAGTGGACGGCCAACCGCAGCCCACGCCACCGCAAGCAGAGGAACGGGCAGGGATGCTGAGGCTGTCGGCGCATACCAAGAAGAAGAAGAAGAAGGTGGTCAAGAAATGGCGGGATGAGTGGGCGGACACATACAAGTGGGCCTATGTGGCCGTGCACGACAACACCAGCAGAATCTTCTGCACCGTCTGCAAGGAGTATGGCCGCAAGCATCGCCGGAACCCCTATGGGAACGAGGGGAGCAAGAACATGCAGATGAGTGCGCTAGAGGAGCACAACAATAGCTTGCTGCATAAGGAGGCGCTCCGACTGCAGTCAGCCTCCAAGGAGAAGGTGCAAACTCCTGAGATAGAGAGGCCGGTTTATGTCAAAGGTTGGTGGTGTTGCCTGACCTCCTGCGATTATGCTGTGGGTTTGCTTGTCGATATTTCAGGGGATTAGGAAATGTATTACCAAGTTCGTGCTTATTAACAAGTAGTTTGATTTTTGCCTTTTGGTTTCTAGTTTTTTGCCATAATGTTTATAATATGTTTAGGTGTAGTCATAGTAACTTCGTAAGAACTTTTAATATTTGTTTGTTTGATGATCCGATGCCAACGGTACACAGTTGGCAGTGCTTTCGTGTTAGATTGGAGGAAATGAAACATAGCATAAGCAAATAAATAGATAGGTCCAAGTTCCAGTAATCTAGTCTTCCACTAAACAGTTAGTAACTATGTATTCCAAATTTTGGAAGCTTTTTTTTTGGACGTGCTCCGTTTTATATCAAACTGAAACAATTTAAAAGGTGTACTTATCTTAATTTTCATTTCCCATTTCAGCTTTGTCGAAAACAGCAGCTTCAATACTTGAATCTCTCTTCAAGAAGGACCCTCATGAAGCTGAATTTATACAGTCTATACAGGAGGTGGTTCATTCTATAGAACCAGTTTTGGTGAAGAACTCACAGTTAGCTCTCTCTCTCTCTCTCTCTCTCTCTCTCTCTCTCTCCCTCCCTCTTCCTCTCCCCTTCCTGAGGAACAGTATCTCCTCAAGTATAACATGGTTTCTGATGTTGATTTTTCAGATATGTTCAGATATTGGAGCGTTTATTAGAACCTGAGAGATGTTTTATCTTCAGAGTGCCATGGGTTGATGACAGAGGTGAAGCTCATGTCAATCGAGGTTTCCGTGTGCAGTTCAGTCAGGCTTTAGGTCCATGCAGAGGTGGTCTCCGTTTCCACCCGTCCATGAACTTAAGTGTGGCAAAGTTTTTAGCTTTTGAGCAGGTATTAGCATACTTGTCCGACATGCATTTTTCATGTAAACAACCTCCTGCTACAACCTGTTCTTCATTCTTGTACCATTTGTTTTTCTGTTTTTGTATCAGACTACCTTTGATTCAGTTATTGTAACAAATGATATAATGCACCTACATACAAGTAATGAACTACAAAATAACGTGAGCTTTGATGCAAATTGTAATGAATTTTCCCCCTTATTTCATACTAGATTCTAAAGCCAATGGCATGTTTCCTAAGAAAGTCTTCATTTTATTTTGTGTGTGTACAATGGGGTTTGCGTGGATGTGCAAATGGTGGAAATTTGCACTGTGTTTACTTCTGCCACGAGAAGATAAATGTCTAATAGTGTGCAAATAGAGTCAAGTTATATAAATTTTGGGTGCTTGCACTGCTGTACGATGACTTCGTAATCTATTAGTACGTATTGGGATTGAGAAGTGACCGCTAAACCGAGAGGGTGTTTTCAGTGGACGTCGAACCTGTAATCTTACATGAGAATTCAATGTACCATTCTAAGCAATTTCCCTTTGTGCAGACTCTGAAGAATGCTCTGTCACTATATAAACTTGGAGGTGCTGCTGGAGGGAGCGATTTTGATCCAAAGGGTAAAAGTGAAATTGAGGTATTCGTGTTGTATTTTATTTCCTCTGGGCAACAATATTTACTGCATGTAAATATGGATATTTTTCCATGCCAGGTAATGCGCTTTTGTCAAAGTTTCATGGATGAGCTGTATAGATACTTGGGCCCTGATCAGGTACCTCGCATTGTATTACGTGCATTTTTTTAAGAATTTGCCATTTATTTCTAAATTAGTTAAGTGGCAGAAATTCATGCTTCAGTTTGTGACGTAGGATTTTCCTGCTGAAGATGTTGGTGTTGGTCCAAGGGAAATGGGTTTCCTTTTTGGGCAGTACAGACGCCTTTCTGGTCATTTTCAGGTACACCATAGTACCATACATGTTACCCAGAACAATGTTTATGCCGATCCCCTTTAGGTGTCGTTCTTCCTGTTGTTACTCACTAAGAATTTATCTAAAGCATTGCCCTTCCCTATTTAGAATACCGGGACATCTTTTTAAAGTTGCTTTTGAATTTATAGTTCTCTACTGGATAATATATATTGTCATTATAGTTGTCTAACTTAGAATTTGTTCCTGAAGTGGTAGTGTATTTTTACTCGTTACATTCTCTGAGAAAAGGTGTTCCTGTCCTGATGTTGAACGTGTCTCTTGGTTCTACTAGTCCCTTTAGTCTACTTGAAGACTGTTTGATCGGTTTCTACTTTCAGCTCTTTGGTTCAAATATCTTTTCTCTTTTCTGTAGATTTCATTGCTGTTCTTATGCAGGGAAATTTTACAGGGCCTAAGATCTTCTGGTCTGGTTCTAGTTTTAGAACAGAAGCTACTGGATACGGGCTGGTAAAGTGGTATCTTAACTCCTCTTATGAGCACAACTAGTCGCTATCTTTTCACGTGGCACAGTTCTTTCACAAAGTAATGCTTTTGCCACATGTGCTGACAATTTTTTCCTACTAAAACAAATATTGTGTAACTTGTCACAGGTATTTTTTGCACGTGTTGTACTTGCTGATATGAATAAGGAGCTCAAAGGATTAAGGTTGTTGACAGGGATCCATTTGTTTTACTGGTATTGTAATTTATTGATTTGGCAGCTTTCTTATGTGTGTAATTTGTGCAGATGTGTGATAAGTGGTTCAGGAAAGATAGCAATGCATGTCTTGGAAAAGCTTCTGTCGTGTGAAGCTATTCCTGTTACAGTCTCAGGTATGCAGATTTAAAGCTTAAGTTGAATTACTTAAACAGGAAATATTGTGAGGTACATCGGTGGTCAGGAGCATAATCAAAAGTCTGTCGCCATTGTGCGAATAGGCGAAAGCGTCTTACCCTCGATGTGAGGGGGCACGTTACGTGTTATAGGCTGCAGGGGCGCACCTCCCTGACAATAGCGCATACAAGTTTGTTGGAGAAGATTACAACTTGGAGAGGAAGAGATAAAGAGATAAGAGGTTTTACAAGATATTGAATGACTTGTCTAACAACCTAGTCTATCTCCTGTACGTCTCCTGTGCGCCAACTCTGAAGACCAATGTAACATGTATATGTGTTTAACACCCTCCCTTAATCACAACTTCATCAAGTTGAGATTATGTTTGAAGTCTTCAAAGCTTCTTGTGGGTAAAGGTTTTGTGAATCCATCTGCTATCTGATCCTTGGAATGCACAAAACATCTATCAAGTTTCTTCTGAGCCACTCGTTCCCTGACAAAGTGAAAATCAATCTCAATGTGTTTGGTCCTAGCATGAAACACTGGATTAGCAGACAAGTATGTAGCACCCAGGTTATCACACCATAAACATGGAACTTGAGTACTCTTTACACCAAGTTCTTTTAGCAGTGATTGCACCATATGATCTCAGTGTAGCATTTGCCAATGCTTTGTATTCTGCCTCTGTGCTGGAGCGAGAGACAGTGGCCTGTTTTCTTGCACACCATGAAATTAAATTTGGACCAAAAAATACCGCAAAGCCACCAGTGGACCGCCTGTCATCCAGGCACCCTACCAGTCAGAATCTGAGAAAGCACTCAAAAGTGTAGATGATAACTTACTGAAATTCAGACCAATATTAAGAGTATTCTTGACATATCGAACTATACGCTTTGCAGCAGTCCAGTGAACTGTGGTGGGTGCATGAAGAAACTGACATACCTTATTAACAACAAATGAGATATCAGGCCGTGTAAGAGTCAAATATTGAAGTGCACCTACCAGACTCCTATATCTTGTGCTGTCATCTTGACCCAAAGGCTGCCCTTCTGTAAGGGACAATTTTTCTGAACTGGATAGTGGAGTAGGTGAGGGTTTACTCCCTTGCAAACCAGCCTTTTTTACCAGATCTGTTGCGTACTTTTCCTGGGAGAGATGAAGTCCATCCTCATGTTTCTTCACTTCTATCCCTAGGAAGTAATGCAATTCTCCAAGGTCCCTGAGAGCGAACTCTGCACTGAGATCCTTTAAAAGTCCTGTGATAGCCTCATCAGATGAACTTGTGACAATAATATCGTCAACATATATGAGAACAAATATGTGAGTGTTGCATTTGTTGTAAATGAACAAGGAGGTGTCAGACTTTGAAGGAATGAAGCCAAGTGCTTGCATTTTGTGACTCAACCGCGAGTACCATGCTCTAGGAGCCTGTTTCAGTCCATATAAAGCTTTGTCAAGCTTGCATACATGAGAAGGTGCATTCTTGTTTTCAAACCCAGGAGGTTGTTTCATGTACACTTCCTCTTCCAGAACACCATGCAAAAACGCATTCTGTACGTCTAGCTGTCTGAGACTCCAGCCCCTGGAAACAACAATGGACAAAACAAGACGGATAGTGGCAGCTTTTACAACTGGACTAAAGGTATCCTCATAGTCTATGCCATACCGTTGTTTAAAGCCTTTTGCTACAAGTCTTGCTTTGTAACAATCAATGGTTCCATCGGATTTTCTCTTAATCCTAAATACCCACTTGCAATCAATGAGGTTTTTACCTTGCCGTGAAGGAACCAAGTGCCATGTGTTGTTTCTCTTTAGGGCCATGTACTCTTCTTTCATTGCTTTCTTCCAATTTTCATCACCAAGGGCTTCCAAGTGAATATGGCTCGCCTGGTTCACCTGTGGAACATATCATCCCAAATTTTGTCATACGTTTATAATTTATGGGTTGTATTATCCCTTGTTGGAGACGAGTGCGTCGTAACGTAGTTGGCTCCAGCGCAGAAGATCCCGTGTGAGCTGCAGTAGCCGATCCTGAGGTGGATTCACGAGGGTCCGCGGCAGCCGCGTCGGAACAGAGGCTGGATCCTCTGTGCGCGGGAACGAAGCAGCGGCATGAGACGGAGCCACACGCGTCGCAGAAGATCCCGCCTGGCGAGGCTCATCACGCGGCAATGATTGGGCCTATTCCTCGCGCGTGCCAGGCGTGGGGCCCACGCCAGTCGGCCGACGCATATCCCGCCGCTTGTAGCAGACAGGCTGGACGGGAAAACGACTGCCCGTGGGCCTTGGTGAGTGCAGGCCGTCGCCACCAGCCGCTGGCTGCCGCGTGGCGTAGGCGGGGCCGCCTGCTGACGCGCGGTCGGGTGCGGGGGAAGCAGCGGAGGGCGCGGAATCCAGAGAGTATCAGCCCGACCGATCTGCAAGCGGTGATCCCGGGGCGGATCCTGCTGTCAGGTCTGCCGCGCCTGCGGGCATCGATCCCGAGAGTGATTTGCTCCCCAAATCCTGGCACATGAAATATGGCCCTGTTGGGCGATTTTCTTCACCGTTTTCAACTCCGTTTTCTTCAGCATGGCTCCCTGTATCATCACACAACTCATGCAAAGTGGTGTGAGGGTTAGTCACAATAGAATCATTAGAGTTATACTCCCCATGATCAAAGCTGGTTAGATTTGGAGGTAGAAGAAGGATTTCTTTTCGAAGTAAGGCGCCGGCATTTGGATGTAGACCAGCAAAAGGGAATTTAGTTTCATCGAACACAACATCACGGGATATGCAAACTTGACCAGTAGAGACATCTAGGCATTTGACCCCCTTGTGTTGAGAGCTATACCCAAGTAAAACACATTGTTTCAAGCGAAACATAAGTTTGCAAGAGTTGTATGGTCGGAGATTAGGCCAACAGGCACACCCAAATACGCGGAGTGATGTGTAGTCGGGTTTGACATAAAGGAGCCGTTCGGTGGGTGTTTCATTGTTGATGACTCGACTAGGGAGCATGTTGATAATGTGAACGGCCATGAGAAAAGCTTCGTCCCAAAACTTGAGGGGCATGGAAGCGCCGGCAAGAAGGGCTAGACCAACCTCAACTATGTGCCTATGTTTGCGTTTGGCAGATCCGTTTTGTTGGTG